AGGGGGACACAGTGGAAAGGTGGCAGAGCCACAGCAATGCCCTGTGATGGGGGAAGTGGGTGGTGAGGACAGGTAGGAGTCAGGGTGAGGGACATGGCTGGGGGCAGAGGGGAGAAACAGCTGGTGCCAGCATGTGAAATACCCTGTGAAATACCCCTCTGCCCCTCCACGTGCCTCTGCAGGGGCACTGCTGCCCGGGCACAGAGCCAGTGCTCAAGGATGGGCTGGGGTGGACAGACCCCAGAGTGGGCAGTATGTACCACCAGGGTTGTGATCCCAGTGACATCCCACTGGTGACAGAAATCAATCATGGGTGAAGCACCAGAGCTCCTGCCCCTGGGGATGCCCAGGGCAGTGCCAGCTAGGGGTGATGGAGACAGGGCAGAAGCAGCTGTCCCTCTTCCAGCTCCGCCAGGCCAGGCCTGGGGGGTCCCCGCAGCCAAGGGTCCCTGGGGTGGGTACAACATGGATGTCCAGCCAAGGCACCACTCACAGGCCTCTGTGTCTCTGCCCAAGGCAGCACCGGCACCAAGCCATGTCCTTTTCCTTCACAGTCTCCATCGGTGGTACGTGCCAGCTGGACCAGCCCAGGACAGTGGCCCCTGGCACCATGCAGTGACACTGCTCTGGAGCTGAAGGGGACAAAGGCCACCCAATGGTGGCTCACGAGATCCGTCCAGGCGTTGCCATACCCACTGTGCCATCCCTGGCACACATCTCTGGCCACAGCAGCTCCACTCCATGGGGCAAAGGGAGGGGAGAGGCCAAAAGGGTTTGGTGGCTTCACAGGCTGCTCCTGGGGTCTCAGCACAGCGTATCCGTGTTGAAGGAGAGCTGAGCCTGGGCAGGGAGACAGGCAGGGCTCAGGGGCTGCCTGCACTGCCAGCACATCCAGGGTGTCTGGGGCCAGGGGCTGGCCTGGGTGGCAGAGCAGTCACCCCTCCCAGAGAGCCCCCCCCAGCCCAGCCCTGGCTTCACTATGTCTGTCTCCTGGTGCTGCATAACCAAGTCCCAGGACCCTGTGGAAGGGACACAGCTGGGACCCATTCAGATCTGGGGATAACCTCTCACCCTCTCCTCCTCGAAGCTGATGAGGCCTTCATCATCAGTCTCCAGGTCTTCCTGCTCCTCCACCACGAGGGCCCGCAGCTCAGTGGGGGCAGCGCGGGGCCGCAGCAGGCTCAGCACACGCTCCAGGGGTGACTGCAGGGCACAGCTGGGGCTGGTCTCCTGCTGCTCCAGGTTGTCACTTTGCTTCTTGGCAAAATTCACGAACACCTGGGGAGGAAGGGGCAGGAGACTGAGAGGGCTCCTCCACCACCAGATGCCCCTCACCTACCATCCGTACTGTCCGGTCAGGCCCCAGCTCATCCCACTGTCCAGGGGCTGCCACTGTATCCCCAGTCCAGCTGCACCTCCTGCCCCAAAGGCAGCTCCTGCCTGGCACTTTGTCACAGCCACCCTCCCTGGTGGCAAGCATTCAGCTGCCCGTGCTGTCCCCAGCCTTACGTTGTCCAGTGTGGTCTGGCTGACAGAGTAGTCTTCAATGCCCAGCACATCCACCACCTGCTCCATCTTGCTGAAGACCTGTGCCAACGAGATCTGGTCCGACTTCAGCTGGTACTGGGCCTTGGTGTGGTGCCGCTCCTGGAGGGGGACATGGAAGGGACACTCACTACCACACCCCCTCCCATCACCCCAGAGGATGAAGGCTGCTTGTGCCTCAAGGTGGGGGCTGGCAGGAGACAGCATGGTCACCACAGGCAGCTCACCTTGAGAATGGCCTCAGGGAAGTTGCGGTTGAAGAACCTCACCACCTCCTTGACATTGAGGCTGGACTTGGTGCGCACTGTGATCATGTAGCCATCACCGAACCTGCACAGGGACAAGGGACACCATAAGGGCCTGTCCCTCCACTTGCACCCCCACATGGCAGGACTGACCCCACGGAAGGGGACAATGCTCTCAGGCAACTGCTGCTGGACACCAGGACAGTGCCAGGGCACTCCAGTTAGCCTGTTCCCTGCCCAACTCCAAACCAGCAAACTGACATCTCACCACAAGTGCCACACTGTCACCCAACCATGAGGGTCCAACCCCCTCCTGCCTCTCAGCACACACTGGGTGCTGGGTCACCACACAGGGGTACTGGGCCCCCACTGGGCTCTTACCTGTTCTTCAGGTGCTGGATGCTGCCAAGACACTTGAGCCGCCCATTCACCATGATGGCCAGGCGGGTGCAAAGCGCCTCACACTCCTCCATGCTGGGGGGACAGGACACGGTTCAGTGGAACTGGCACAGTGGCAAGCTACAGCAGGGGCAGGCGAGGAGCTGGGCTCCCCAGGCCATCACTTAGGTGCTGTGGCCCCACCACCATGGATGACAGAAGGCAACAGAGGCTGTCCCAGGCTCCCCCTGCTACCCATGCCCCTATAAAATGCCATTCCTTAGGGACTGGGGAGCGTTCTCCTTCCCATCCAACACCCCAGATGCCTGGAGGCATTGTGGGTTCAACCAGAACCCCCCTGGACCTGTGAGATGTGAGCACCACGGAGCGACCCGTTTTGATGACATCCAGGATGAGGTTCCAGAGGAAACGCCGTGCCTTGGGATCCATCCCTGTGGTTGGCTCATCCTGGGAGACAGACAGCACCTTCAGAAATGCCAATTCCTGGGAGTGACCCTGCCACCCCCTTCCTGTCCTGAGCCCTGCTCAGGCCACCATCCCATGCTCCAGGACATGTGAGGTGGAGCTGGGAGTGGACAGCTCCCACCCAGGGTCATTCCTCCATCCCAGGGAGGCAGGTGGGCAGGATGCTGGTCCCAGGGCGCACCAGGAAGATGAAGGCTGGGTATCCAATGAGTGCGATGGCTGTGGACAGCTTCCTTTTGTTGCCCCCACTGTAGGTGCTGGCAGGCTTGTCTGCATACTTGGTCAGCTCCAGCTTCTTCAGTGCCCACTTGACCACCTGCAAGGTGTGGGGGGTTGCCGTCACCCTGCCAAGGCCATGGGGCTAACAGAGCTAGCAGGGATAGGGCTCCATGGCATAGGTCAGCTGCTAGGGGGACCACAAGCCATGTGCCAGTCAGGGGAGCCCCACGACAGCCCCTGGCACAGCCATGAGTGCCAGTGAGGACCTGTGAGTGCATATGCCCAGCCCTGGCAGCCCATGTGGACACACCACTGGGGTGGCACTACCACAAGAGCAGCAGCATTGGCTCAGGATCCCTTTGCTGCCCAGTGAGATGCCATCCCCATGGCACAGCGCCAGTCCTTGGGTGATGCCAACTGCCCACACAGAGCCCTACCCGCTCCTCGTCCTTCCAGGGGATGCCACGCAGGCGGGTGTAGAGCTCCAGGTGCTCCTGGGCCGTCAGCTCATCGAAGAGTGCGTCAAACTGGGGGCAGTAGCCCAAGCTCTGCTGGACCTGCAGGAGCTCCTTCAGGATGCTGCAAGAGAAGAGGGAGAGGCCGTGGGGAGAAGGAATTGCTTTTCATGAGGACCCTGCTGCTAAACCCCCTTTCACACACCTTTACACTGGAGCATCTGCCCCAAGGTAACCCCACCAGGCAGCCTCAGCCCAGGGCCACAGTCACTTGCCTACCCACCAGGTCACCCAGGAAGACACAGGGCTGCAGAGTCCCATGGGGACACACAGGCTCACTCATGCAGTTTTGCCCTGGGAGCCCCCCAAGCATCCCATCCCCAGGACAGTGGGCAGCACCCAGCCTCACTCAGCCCATGCCCCCCATTAACCTGTGCCCATTAACAAAGGCCTCTCCGCCCGTGGTGCTCTCATCCCCCGTCAGCATCTTGAAGGTGGTGGTCTTGCCCGCGCCGTTGACACCCAGCAGCCCGAAGCACTCCCCGGGCCGCACACCCACGCACAGCCGGTCCACGGCGAGGATGCGCCCGATCTTGCGAGACTTGTACACCTGATGGGGCAGGGGATGGGGGCTCAACCCACCAGGAGCCACCTGGACCCCCAGGCCTGCCCATGTCCCTGGGATGAGCTGGTCCCAGGTTGTAGAATAGAACCACAATCATCAAGGTTGGAGGAGACCCCTAAGATCATCAAGTCCAACCATTTACCTGCCACTCTGCTGTAACCCCTAAACTATACCCTCCAGTGCCAGATCCAGTCACCTTTAAACACCTCCAGGGATGGTGACTCCACCACCTCCCTGGGCAATCTATTCCAGTGCCTGACCACCCTAACAGACAAAACATTTTTCCTAGCATCTAATATGCTTGCAGCTCCCACCTTGGTGAGGTTCTCAATCTTCAGCATGTCGTTGTCGGCATCACCACGCAGAACCCGGTGCCGCTCGTTGGCCACGTCAATGTCATCCTCAATGGGTTTGGTGGAGACAGGCAGGCGCCTGCGGGAAGGACCAGGGGCAGGGGGGCATGTGGGATCAGGAGCTGCATCCCTGCCTGGGCCAGGCAGCTCCCACTCACCCCTCCACCCAGAGGGGCAGCCTGGAACTCAGGGGTCCCAATGGCAAAGCTTTACCACCTCCATGCCTACCCCCCACCACACTCACTGGGGCTTCCGGAAGAAGTTGTACTGGCACATGATGGTGATGAAGAAGCCAACAAAGCCTTCAATTGTCATGGCAACAAGCCCTCGTGTCACGATGTCCCATTCGAAGGGTGATTTCATTTTATCGACCTGCCCTGAGTGGGAGGAAGAGGAGAGACTGGCTAGGGACACCTTCCTGTGGGGAGAGCCTGGTTGTACCTCCTGAGCTGCCCTGTGACGACACTGTTCCCATGTCCCCCTGCCACAGGTGCCTGGGCTGGTCACAACACACTTCCCACTAATACTGCAGGTGCGGTGGAAATCATCCGACAACTTTTCAACCTCAGTAGGATGAACCAACCCAACTGAGAGTGGTATCAGATGGATTTGTCAGATCCCAACCCAGAACTGTCCCTCACGATGCCAGCAGCACTGGGGTTATGTACAGAAGCTGCTTGAGAAGCAGAGTGCAGGGCGAGCTTCTAAGGTCACGCTGAAGCTGTGTGGCAAAAGGCTTTTTGGTTGGGCAATGCAGCCCCCAAGAGACCCCAGCTGGGAGGAGAGAGTCCCTGCAGCCCCCATCCTTCCTGTCACAGCATGGCCCCACGATGGCCCACCACAGCTCCACCCTCAACCACGTCTATTCCTATGCCCTGTCTAGTCTACCTTCCTGGCTTTTGTTCCAGGTTGCTCTGGGCCTTGGGACACCCCACAAGAGGGAATGTGCCAGCACCATGGTCCCCCACAGCCCCACATGCCCTGAAGCAAGGGAGGGAGGTAGCAAGAAGCTGTACCGATCTTGGCGTAGTATTCGTTGATGTACTCGTTGTAGGCCATCTCCATCAGGCCGTGGCCCAGGTTGTAGTTAGGAAACACAAGGAAGCAGCTCTTCAGGTAGCTGTTCACCACCTTCAGGTCCTGTGGGGACGAGTAGAGAGGACATGATGGTCAAATAACCCTGCATGTGTGAGATCAGGATCTCAAAGATCCAGCCTAGTCAGGTCTCATGTCTGACCTGGCTGGGAGCAGAGACCTCCCAGGTCCCTCCCTGCCTGAGCCATCCCATGATCTGATGGCAGTGTCTCCCTTCCCAGTGGCCCTCATCAGAGCCACAAATTCCATACCTTGTCGTGCTCAAAGAGCTGTAACAGGAATGTGGCAACAGTGGCTGTGATGCCGATGAAGAGGTTGATGACGATGAGGAAGACGTAGGCAGAGCTGGGCACCTCAAACCAGAAGGAGGCTGGGTACATGATGGGGGTGATGGACCAGCTGGGGAGGAGCACACATCATTGTGGCAGGAAAGAGACCCCCAGCCTTGAGATCACCCATCTCCCAGTCCTGCCCTTTCTGGCCTCTTACAGCCCTCACAGCCACCCCACCCCAAACAGCTACGTGTGCTGCAGAATACCTGCCCCAAGGGCAGGTCTTGCCTGCACAGCCACAGCATGGATGGGGCACAGAATCATAGAATGACAGAATGGTTTGGATGGGAAGGGACCTTTCAAGGGCATCTAATCCAGCCCCTCTGCCATGAATGTCCCATCCAACCTGGCCCTGAACACTACCAGGGATGAGGCAGCCACAGCTTCTCTGGGCATCTCATGCCAGTGCCTCACCATCCACACTGTGAAAAATTTCTTTATATCTGGTCTAAACTTCTCCTATTTTAGTTTAAGATTGTCACCCCATAAGACTCTGGAGGGATCCCCAGTGCCTCCTGACCACCCCTCTGAGCAACGTACCCATAGAGCAGGAAGAGGGAGAGGACTGCGGGGAAGTTGGTTGGAGAGGTGTACGCTGGGAGGTCGAACACAAACAGGATGATGATGCAGCACGTGGCTGGCACCAGGTAGTTCAGCTGGAGAAGACAAACTTCTGTAACTGCCCACTCCTTGGCACAGCCCTGGGGGTTTGGCTGGTGGGGCCACATGCTCTGCTCACCATGTCCCACACATAGTTTGCCAACCAGTAGATGACAGGGTCACAGCCGCTCACGAACTGCAGGTGTTTGGCCTTGGTGGCCTTTTCAGCCACCAGGAACACCACAAAGCTGGCTGGGACGAAGGACATGGCCACAATGATGAAGATGGCAATCACCACATCTGTGCCTTGCAGGCTAGATGGGGAGCAAGGAGAGCAGAGACCCCATCAACCTCAGTTGGCTGGGGAAGGGCCACCCATCCTGGTGTGAGGTAGTCTGTGCACAGGGTAGGGCATGGTACAGGCACCCTGTCCCCCCCCATGCAGCCAGCAGGGCAGAAGCCTCAGCATTCCCTTGCAACCATCACTGAGAAGTACCCCACTCCCATGGGAGAGCCACCCTCCCACAGAGTCATTCCTTGGACCTACAGGTAATCCAGGGACAGGCTGGCGCTCGTCTTGTTCATGGGGTGATTGGTGACTGTGATGCCTGCAAGAAGGACAAAGAAGAGACATGGAAGCATAAAATCTGGCTTGGGACACAGAACCTTGTGCCCAGTCTGCCTGGCCCTGGCTCTGAGCAGGACAGGTTTCCAACCTGCAGCTCAGCAGGAGCTGGTGTCTCTGAAGCAACCCAGCACCTTGAGACTGAGCCCTCCCTCACCGGACAGCACTCTCAGACATGTCACAATCCCAGGCACCTCCAGGCAGCACTTTGGGATGTTCTGCCCCAGCCCAGGCCTCAGAGACCTGTGTCCAGTTCTCACATCTCAGAGCCAAGGTGCAGGATCCCTGTCCCAGCTGGGCACTAGCTCAAGGTGGGACACTACACTTTGGAGCCTGGTAGTACCATTCCCTAATGCTGTTCCTGATGTGCTCCTGCCCTCAAACATATCCAGGACCTCACCGTAGGCAGCAGGGTTGCCCTTGCTCTTAGGCAGGTTAGCTCTCAGGATGGCGTTATTGAGGGCATTGAGGTAGGTGGGCATGCTGTGGTAGCCCTTGTTGTTGTAGAAGACCTGGAGGAAGAGAGAAGAGTTATGGGAAGTTGCAAGAGAACTGGGCCCACAGATGTACTGGAAGGGATGGGATGGGATGGACAGCCAGCCACAGGGTTAATGTCCTGTGCTCAGCACCATGAGAGCAGGTCACTGCTGTCCATGCTGGGCCAGACCCACTGACCACCCATCATGGGGCCAGAGGCCCACAAGAGCCCTTGGAGAGCACTGGTGCAGAGCAGTGGGCCAGGGGTTCCTGCCTGCCCCCCTCTCCTTCCCACCCATCTCAGCCTGCCCCAGAGTGCAGTGCTGTCCCACCTGGGCTGTTCTCCGCACAGCGATCTTGCGCACGGTGGCAGGAGCCCTGGCCCCGAAGGAGGCCGGGATGGACTTCTGGACATTGCCGAAGGTGAGTGCCCCATACCTGTGGGACAGAGAACTGCTGAGGAAGTCCCCCACCTCCAGGAGTGAAGCCATGCTCCAGCACATTCTGGGCTCCAGCCAGTGCACCAGGACAAGTGCCCCCAAGTCCCCAGCCCTCACCGCTGTACCACGGCAAAGGGCAGACCCACCCCAACCTCTCCTCTTGCCTGTGCAGCCGGAAGCGGTCTGAGGTGTAGAGCAGATACTCGGAGACGTTGCGCCCTGTGATGTCTGCCAGGATGTCCCCTGTCACCACCTTCATCTGCGGGGGGTGGCCCCCCACACCGTTGGGGCAGGAGAAGCCAGTCCCCTGCATGGAGCATGTGCACTTGATGGGCTCGTGGATGATGCGGGGCAGGGCGGGGGCTGAGGTCACAGTCCCTGAGTTGCAGAGAGGGCAGCTCACAGCCAAGCTCCTGCCTGCCCTGGCTGCCAGGGACAGAGTGACAGCCAGGGGCCGGCCAGGCAGGGTCCTGGTGACCAAGAGGGACCAAGAGATGGACATGGGGAAAAACTCTGGGGGAAAAGAAAAGTTCAGAGAGGGACCACAAAGTGTGGCTGGAGAAGGCAATGGCTGGGAACTGCCTCCAGGGAGGGTGATGCAAGGCCACAGGGCTCAAGTATCACTATCCCAGGGTGGCTCTACTGGCATGGCCAGAGCTAAATGGGGACAGTGCTCTGGGGCCAGTAGTAGCCCTGACCCCCACATTCAGCCCAACGAGGCTCTGCAGTGGCCAGGCCAGACTGACAGGCACTACCAGGGGTCCTTGGAGCTGCTTCTGAAGGGAGTCCTGGACACTTGAGCACCCAGCACAGGTGATACCTTTGACAGCAGAGAAGGCCGTGGAGTTCCAGGCATGGAGCAGGTCCTCATCCACTGAGATGGGGTAGTCAGAGGGAGCTGGGGACGGAGGCGGTGGCACAAAGTTGGAGAGTGGCAGGCCCTGTGTGAAGGAGTCGATGCACATGGCATCAAAGTACTTGGCTGCCAGCATCTTGGACTCATTGCTGTTGAGGTTGAGGGTCTGCATAGGCTGGTCCAGCGTGTTGTTGAAGGGTGTCTTGAGCACGCAGGTGGCCCCCACGCCAGAGGGCAGGTGGAAGGTGTTCACCAGCTGCTGGGGGCTGGCATCAGGAGACAGCCTGATGCTGAGGGGAAAGGAGCCAGTGAGGAGGAGCAAGGAGCAGGAGACACAGGTCTCGGCACCTTGGCCATCTTCTGCTGGGAACTCCCTGAGGCCTTGGCACTTATCACAGCCACAAACAGCCTGTGCCTGGCATGACCGAGCTGCTGATCACAGTGTATTAGGGCTAGCACCTCTCCCAGAGGCACCCTGACCAGGACGGAGGCTGCTTTCTGCCAAGGGATGTGGCACCAGCCAGGCTTTGCTCCAAGACTGAGCTAGCCCTGGCACCCAGGCCTGCTGTGGGCTGCCCTCCTCACTGCCTCCACGGCAGTCCCAGGGACAGAGACAGGGATGGGGCTGGGGCACGGGGTGCTGGTCATCACTGGCAGCAGCTCTCACCGGTACTCACGCCGCTCCTCGTTGGCATAAGGAATGAAATTGCCCTTGGGCTGGGTGTAGTTGTGGTACTGCGATGGCGAGAGGATGAGAGGTGGCAAGTCACCTGTGGGGACAAGGACGAAAACCTGCTCGTACCCACAGCACTACCACACACAGGCAGAGTATGCCTGGTCCTTGCAGTGTGTCCACACTGGGGCAGCCAGAAAAGGCCCCCAGTAGCCCCCAGCGAGCAGCGGGGTACGTGGCTCACACACACCTATTTCGGGCACAGAGAGTGCCACAGTCATGGCCACGCAGACGAAGAAGGCAGGCAGGAGGATCTGTGAGAAGAGGGCCTTGGTGTTGCGCTTGGCGCAGTGGAAGCGTTTGACGATCAGCCCATGGAACTGGCGCAGCTTCAGCCATGAGCCCTCCAGCTTGAAGCTCCCCTGCCCCGCCAGGTCACGGTCCTCCACCTCTGCCTCTTGCTCTGGGAGGGGAGAGGGACATCAGCTCCCTGGCACAGCTGCTCCTTGGTTCCCCAGGGAGCTGAGCCACACAACCAGCCTGGCACAGCCACCCCATGGCACAGGGCAGCACCCAAGCCCGACCACCACTGAGCCACAGCAGCAGTGTGGTATGAAGCAAGGCAGCTGGCTGGCAGGTTCCTCTCAGCCCCAGATGGGAAATTTAGACAATAATTTCAAAAAAATATTAAATTGGTGCTTTTTTGCTGGACCACTCAATTTTCACACCAGCTTTCCCAGCTGGTGAGGGGTCAGCACAGCCAGGAACAGGGGAAGGAACATGGCTAGGGGTCCCAGCGAGGCAGTGGAAACCCTGCCATGGCACTGTCCCAGCTCTGCCTCCCACAGCCCAAATCACAGCACTCAGGGCAGTCCTGATCAGGTCGGGGGCAGGTGGCATGTCTCTGAATTAATCACAAGAGCTGCTGCGATAACCCAGAACAGGAGCTGTGGCTAAAGCAGCAGCCTTGAGGTGGCTGTCTTCCCCCTCCATATCCAGCAATCCCAGCATCTGGGCAGGGAAAGCCCCACACCCAGAGCAGGGGCAAAGCCACCGGCTGGAAGGTGACTCCATGCCAAGGGGCCCAGAGGAGAAACCTGACAGGCACCAGTGTGGGGAGAGGGCACGTTAGTGGGGCATCTGCAAGGTGGCAGTGGAGACCTACAGGAGGCACAGCCAACACCGGCTCCACACCTTGGCATGGGACCCCCCCACCCACACCCTACCAGTTTGGGGTGCAAACTGGTGCAAAGTGCCCATTTCCAGCCCTCCCACCCAGGCTGCGGCTCTGTGGGTGTAGCGCTGGTGGAAGCACCAACAGTCCCATCTCCACGAGCTCTCCTCCCAGCAGGCATGGCCCCTGATTCCGGGCACAGCTGTGTACCCCACAGGGCAGGGCTGGCTCTGCCCCACTCAGGTGCACCCTTCGTGTCCCAGCCGAGTGCCTGCCCCAGCCCTGCCACTGGCCGGGCTACGGTGGCACCAACCTTGCAGACTGATGTTATCGGGGTCCTGCCGGTTATCGAACAGGGGTGCGTAATCCCCAAAGAATTCGGAATAAGCCCCACCTTCGTCGCCCCGCACGGAGCCCACCGAGGAGGCCGAGCGCAGGGATGCCTGCGACTGCGCCAGCTTGGAGCAGGTCACCAGGTTGCTGAGCTCCACCTCGGGCTTCTCTGGCATGGCTGGTTTTGGCAGGGGCTCCCCCTTGGGCCCAGGGGTTTTTTTTTGCTGAGCTCCCCCTCGGGCTTCTCTGGCATGGCTGCTTCGGCCAGGGTCTCCCCATTGGCCTCAGGCTTTGGACCCAGCTCAGACACAGGTGGCTGCAGGGCATCCTTCTTGGACTCCTTCATGTCTGGAAGGAAAAATGAGGGCTGCCACTGGCCATGCCACTCTTCACTGCAGCATAGCATGGAGTGGGGATGGATTGTATCATAGAATACCAGACTGGTTTGGGTTGGAAGAGACTTTACAGCTCATCTCGTTCCACCCCCTGCCCTGGGCAGGGACACTTTCCATTTGACCAGGTTGCTCCAAGCCCTATCCAACTTGGCCTTGAACACTTCCAGTGATGGGGCAGCCACAGTTCCTCTGGGAAACCTGTGCCAGTGCCTCACCATCCTCACAGGGAAGAATTTCCTCTTAACATCTCATCTAAATCTCTCCTCTTTTAGTTTGAAACTGTTCACCCTGTCCTATCACTGCCTGCCCAAGAAAAGTCAGTGTATCTCATTTTTCCAAGCTCCCTTCAGGTACTGCTTTTCTGGAGCCTTCTTTTCTCCAAGTTGAAGTCCAAGACCCCCAGCTCTCCCACCCTGGTTCCATGGCAGAGGTGCTCCAGCCATCAGAGAATCCTGCTGGCCTCCTCTGGACCCACTCCAACAGGTCAGTGTCCTTCTTGTGCTGAGAACCCCAGAGCTGGACACTGTGTTCCAGGTGAGAGGAAACCCGGACTGCAGAGGCTGGCTGCCCTTAGTGGGGGATGGGCTCTGCTAGAGACCTCTCCTCCCCTTGGGCAGGAGACTCCTGCAGCCATCAAACCCAGGCAGAGCACACAGCCCCTCGCTAGCCCCAGCCACACCATGTGCCCCAAAAGTGCCCATACCCACATCGCTGTTCTCCAGAGACTGGTCCTCCTCAGACACCTTCAGGAAGACCTCCTCCAGCGTGGTATCCATCAGCCCAAAACTGGTGAGGTCCAGCTCCTCCAAGCTCTGCTCCAAGTGCTGTGGGGGGAAAGTACTGCATGAGGAGGGCAGGAGATGCCCACAGTGTCACAACCCCCCACCTGCCCACCCTGCCAGCCCCTGCAGGTACCTGGAAGAGCCTCTCAAAGCAGCCCTTCTTGACAGCCTCACTGGGCAGAATGTAGGAGAGCTCCGTGTTGGTGTCTGAGATGAGGAGGCAGGAGGCCACGTACTTCTTGATGAACTGGGAGACACGAGGCTCGGAGCAGGGACTGACAGAGGAGTGGGCTGGGGGGCTGTGTGGCTGGCCCAGCTCTGGGGAAGAGGGGCAGCACCCGTTCGTCACTTCGCAGACAGCCTCCCTACTAGGACCCACCATGTTCCCCCTACCCCTGCCAGTGTCATGGGGGCTCCTCCAGCCTCCACCATGGGGTGTTGGAAGCTTCCCAATCACCCTGCCTGGCCTAGGAATGGTGCTCTGCAATGTAGTTCACACAGGACATCTCAGTGAGCAACGCATAGGTTGGACAGAACCAGGACCTGGAGGCAAATGCCACCACACAGGGTCTGATCAAGGACCCAGCAGGGAGAAATCAAGGCTGAGCAATGCCACCTCTACACCCCTTTGCCCTCCACATGGCCTAAGGAGACTCAGAATGGGAGCACTTGGGTGTTGACCTCTTGCTCCTTTCCTGGGCTGAAGGACTGGTCCCATGTACTCTCCTAAACAAAGGGTCCCGCTGCCCCCCAGACCTGTGCCATTCCTGGTGTCTGACTGCTTCTTCACCACCGTCAGCTTGTAGCCATCACCATAGGTGCTCTTGAGGAACAGTGGAGAGCCACAGCACTTGAGCTTGCCATGGGAGATGATAGCGATGCGGTCCCCCAGCAGGTCGGCCTCGTCCATATGGTGTGTGGAGAGCAAGATGGTCCGCCCTGACAGTGGCACAGAGTCTCAGCAGAGAGACCAGGGATACCACAGACAAAGGAGCATGCCAGGCTCTGCCCACCTGTGCTCACCTGGCTTGTACTTGAGGATGAGGTCCCAGATGGCCCTGCGGGCATACGGGTCCACGCCAGCTGTGGGCTCGTCCAAGATCACAGCCCGTGACCCACCCACAAAGGCAATGGCCACTGATAGCTTCCTCTTCATGCCGCCCGAGAGGGTCTGCACCTGGCAGTGCCGTTTGTTGGAGAGTTCCAGGTCCTCAATCATCCTGGGGACAGGGCAGAAGCACCAGGGATGCTGGGGGGGCCATACCGGCACCCAGTGCCTGTGGGGAGTATGTGACGCCTCTTCCCCACATGGAACTTGCAGCCCTCAGCTGTTGGGATTGCCTAGCTGCAGCCAGACTATGAGCACCTTCTGCTCACTTCCACAGCCTGACACCCCAAGGGTGGGAAAACACTTGGTGGAGCTGGCCCAGGGGACATCTCTGCCACCAGATCACTCCCCACGGCACTCCCAGCAGGAAGGAGACTCACTCATGCCAAAGGCACAGATAGAGTCAAAGGAGCTGAAGGGTGCCTACTTATCCATCTCCTTGCGGATCTCCTCCTCCGCCATGCTCTTGAGCTGTGAGTAGAACCAGAGATGCTCCTCCACTGTCAGCCTATCAAAGAGCACGTTGTGCTGGGGACACATGCCCAGGTTCTTCCGGATCTCATCCATCTCCGTCCGGATATCGTGGCCATAGATGGTAGCAGAGCCCGAGGTTGGAGGGAACAAGCCGGTGAGGATGGACCTAGGATGGATGGAGAAAGGCAACAATGTGAAGAAGCTTTTATTTCTCAGTCTGGTTCCAATCTCAACCACCACCACCAGGAGCATTTGCTGGGCCCTGGGCAGAGCAATGTCACTGCTGGGTCATGAGCCTGCTCCCTGTCCTGTGTTTGTGCCAGCCTCACTTCCACACTGCCGCCCTCTGGGCATGGCACCAGCTACCACAGGGCCATGCAGGGACATCCCACAGCCCCTTCCCCACCTCCTGCAGCTGGCCAGAGGGACACAGCCCCTTTCTCACCAGGACAGGCACTCACATGGTGGTGGTCTTGCCTGCACCGTTGTGACCCAGGAAGGACACGACCTGGTTCTCATAGAGGTTGAGACTCAGCTTGTTCAGCGCCAGCTTCTTGTCTGTCTTGTAGACCTTGGTGAGCTTGTCGATGCAGACGACCAAGGGGAGGTGTGTCGGCTCCTCCTCGATGCCCCGTGTCTCCTCTGCTGTGACAGTGGGGTGGTGAGGAGCCAGAGGAGGGCAGGGAAGCCCGGCTTAGAGTGGAGCTTCCCAGGGATGAACCTCCCCACTTCCATCCCACGGTCGCTGTGCTGGCTTGCGGTCCCTTCCCCTCTGCTTCTCGCCAGCTTCCCCGACTCCATGCTATGGCAGCTCTCAGGCAGGCAGCAGTGCCTGGCCCAGGATCCCACCCCGACCGGAACACAGGAGATACACAGGGGTCCATGGCCACAGCAGGACCCTGCAGCAGAGCCAGGGCTATCCCTGTGCCACCCACTGCCACCCCCAGCTGTCCTCACCCAGCCTCCGGTTCTCCATGGCACAGGCTTGATCCTCCTCCATGATGCTGAGGCGGGTGGTGCGTGACCAGGGCCCGGGCCACTCCCAGGCCCCCCAGCCAGTAGGACTTCTGGAAAGGGAAGTACCAGGGCCGCGGCAGGCCGAACATGCCTGCAACCACGGCCCCAGGGTCAGGGCCAACCCCACACCCAGGGCCATGCAGAGGCTCAGGGCCAGGGCAGAGCTTGGCACAGGCACGGACTTGGGGGCTCCCCCAGCTCAGGGTCAGCACTGTGGGGTGGGGGCTGTAAGCACTCTGGCCAGCTAGGCTCAGGGCAGCACTGCTGGGCTGTGCCAGGAAGCAAAGGCCTTTGGGATTTGGGTTGGATTGGGTTGGCTCATGTTTTGGCTTTACTGGAAAGCAAAGGGAGCAGGTGAGATGCCTCCCCAAGGGGGTATAAAGGGGATCAGTGCTCCAGCTGTGGACACCTGGCTTTGCTACGACTGGCCCATGAACTGAGACACACAGCTGAAGATCTCCAATGAACTTGCTGGTGTCACCAGTGAGTGGGTGAGGGCATGTGGGCAGGGGTCCCCAATGAGACATGCAGGGGACCTTGAAGGCACAGTGCTGAACCCCACCATGTCAGGGCTGAGCACTGCTGGGAACTGGCAGCATCCCCAGTAAGGAGGCTCCTGTGAGGTCTGAGGTGCCCTCATGCCCTCCTGCCCGCACATACCCGGGTGCACAGCCTCGATGTACCACGTGAGCACCCCGTACACCACGGCATCCATGACCAGCATCATCATGGACAGCAGGAGGTTGAAGTCATCTCCTTCCACAGGTGACTGGCTGAAGGTGTGCCACTGGATACCCACACCAGCCACCTCATACAGTGCAAAATACTTGGAGCCCAGCCCAAAGGCTGTGGTGGACATGAGGGACTGTGGAGAGATGGAGAGAAGGGAATGGCAGGTCCATTGGCAGGAACCACAGACCAGCTACAAAGGAACAGGTTGGAGTGAATTCCTACCCAGTGCTGCCCCACCCAGCCCCAGCTCCTGGCCCTGAGAGACACCAAACCTTCTGGAAATACCTCCAAAGCCCCAAAGCGAGCTGTTTCATACAGGCAGTGGCTTGCCCAGGGCTTGGTGACCTTGTACTACACAGCTGCCTGGAGCAAACAGGGCCAAGTGCCTCCCCAGTAGTCACAGCCAACTCACCGCGATGCACTTCTCAAAGGCTGTGATCTTGTCATGTGCCACCTCCTCCCGGATGGCCACGTACATGTAGGGCACATAGCTGAGGAAGTAAATGATGCCACCACAGGCAGAGGCGAGCTTGGCCTTGGAGTAGAGCACCGACACCAGGAAGCTGTAGGGAGGACAGTGTCACCTTGATCCCACCCCACCAGGGCACTTTAGATCCCTCCCTACCAAGGTTTTCCCCACAACATCTGTTTTTGGTCATGTTAAGGTGATAAATTTGGTCCCCAAATCAGTGGGGGTGACCCGCACCCCTCCACTGGCCCTTGCCCACACAGCTCCCAGCACTCTTGCCCCGTGGCACAAGGACCCGTGGTGCTGCCTGTGCCTTCTTACTGCCTGGCACAGACTGGGCAGCTCACCAGAACATGATGGTGGCCACAGCGTAGATGGCGAGGAAGAGCCATATGATGAGGACATCACTGTGCATCAGGACCTTGCCATACTTGAGGATGGCAGTGAGTGCTGTGACTGAGATGGAGAGCTGGACGAAGCCGGTGATGAACCAAGCCACCCAGTGCACCGCATTGTTCAAGCCCATCATCTTCATCACCTGTGAGTCCAAAACTGCTCAGCAGGGCTGTCCCCAACTATGTGTGCCACTGCTGTCACTCTCACTGGGCTGAAAGAGCAGGGGGAAGCACGAGGGGTCCCTGGGAGCTGATGGGAGGAGGTAGGAGAGAGCACACTGTGCCAAGGAGCTCAGCTCCCTCCGGTGCTGGGCAGGGCTCATGCTGGGGACTCTCAGAAGGACTGGCTCAGTCCAGAGATGTGGCATCTGC